CTTAGTCTCCACTAGTCTCAATGGTATAACATTTGTTTGATTGATCTCCCTCCATCAATGCTTTATCTGATACACTTTAGCCCATTTTTCTGAATTTTTCTTTTTTCATAAAAATTTTAGTGTTTACTGACAAAAACATAACTCTGAAGAAAATTCATGCATTTGAAGCACATGTATGAATTTTAAAGGCCCTACCCGTCTGTTCTATAGTTACATAGAATAAGAGTGAGAGAGAGTGGATAGAAAAACTAGTTCCACTGTATCGGAATCACTCTAGTTCTACTTTCTTTTAGCCTTTGCATCGCTGTCTTCCAGGCTATGTTGGACTAGATTGTAGAAATCAGTCATTTGGCAGCTTTGTTGAAAAAAATCTTAAAAGCTTAGGGCACCTTCACGTCTTTGAAGTGTCTGTAAACTGCAGGGAGAAGATGAAGCTGAGAATGATGATGCAGTGGCATGAACAGGGTAGTATAGAATGAAAAGCAAATTCTCATTCTCACTCCATTCTCTTAGTTTCCTCCAAGTTGCCATTTGCAATGGGTGACAGAAGTTCAAATATTTATGGTTATGTTATATATTTACTATCGACATAAAATGAATTCTTCAAGTAGATGGGATTCCAATAATTGAAAATGGAATCCTTCTCAACTCCTTTCTAAGGATATGGGAGAACAGGACCAAACCAGTCAAGGTCTCTGTACACTCATGAACCCACATCTTATATTCATTTCCAGCACATTTTCCCTGAACAGGGTAAACGATTATTTCTTTTCAGCAGACTATTATCCTCCACTCATGTTGTTTATGGAAGATATATTTATGGGGACTGAAACTTTGCAAGGTGAAGGGAAAAAAAAGTCACGTTTACCATAATCTGAAGCTGAGTTCAATTTATTTTTTAAAGAACTGCATATTAAGAAAGACATGGTCCCAAAGAAGTTATTAAAGTCTTATTAAAATCAATTATAAATATTTACTGTTTTTCTCCCACAGCAATTAGCCACTGTATTTTCGATTTAAATGTCCACTAAATTGAACACGTTTAATTTAAAACATCAACATTCCTGAACAGAGAATCCCTAAAGGAGGTTTGCTATTTCATGTGGCATATTTGCTTATATGAATTAGAAAACATTTTAGATGTTAATATTTTATTCTACAACTGGATTCAGAAATATGGGAACTTTCAAGGAAAAGGTCTCAGCTTCTTACAAACACTGGAAAAAGAAAAAATGGGAAAAATTGCCATGAAACGAAGGCAAAATTGCTATTTAGATTTAAAAACACATGATAGGATTGAATACTAAAGTCAGCTATCAACCACTAGAAAACAAATGGTGGGCCCAAGGGTTAAGTGACAGAAAACTGCAATAAGCGCCAATTTTTAAAGAAAAAAAATTAAGCAAAAGCATGAAGAATAAGTGAAATGGCATTGGACAAAATGAAAACAAAGGACTCTTCACCAGAAGAACAAACTGAAAGTCTACAGCAAGGTCGCCCAAAGGTTGCCAATCTTAGTTTATTCTTGCAGGACTTGTAATTTTAAAATACACATGGGAAAAATGCCCAGATATTATTTTATTAGATTAGTACAGACTTGTAGCTTTGTTTCACAAACTTAAACAGATTAATAAGTAATTAGATCACTGACCAAGTGACAGGTGTCAAATTTGAAAGGGATAATTTTGCATACGTAGAATTTAACTTTTCGAGGAGGCATTTTTTACTTTATTGGATATTTAATACAGCAATCAGTTAATAGCAATTGCAGTTGGGTAGTTTCATACCCATAAGATCGTTTTGAAGATACACCACTGAATCACAGAATAATTTTAGATGAATGATGTCCAAACGAACAACAGAAATGCGGACATATGCAGCACAAGGAACACATCACATTGAAAGGAGAAAGCTATCAAAAGCAAGACA